CCTGGGAAAAAAAAAAAAAATAGAAAGAAATATATCAAGCGTATCGCTAAATCTAAACGTTTTACTTTCGAAAACTTATTATAGGTCAACTTCTGATAAATTTTGACACTTATGACACTCGACCCTAAATACTGTAAATGCTGTCAACTCCATTTTATTAATTGGTAAAGTGTGCAGTTGTTAAACTTTGTTGAGAAACTTCTAATTGAAACAGTTATCAGTCTAACCATTTGTTTTGTCTGGGCCAACAAAATGTCTTGTCAACGTACCAAAAGTGAACCGAAATACAAATAACGAAGCAGACAGCATGGCTTCTTAACTGGGACATTCCATCCATCTTATGATCATTCTTCTGGAAACAGTTAATAGATAGAGAGGAATATTTAGAATCGTAACCCTGACATAAATGACAAACTTTGCACCGTTTAGGTGTTAGTAATTTTGGAAATTTAACGTGTTAATTATTAACAGGCCTACGTCTTTAACGTGTCTTTTACTCGCTTAACTTTAGACAAAATTTAAATAGTAACCCATTTAAAATAGAACGATTATACAACTAAACTTTATCTAGATCGTAGTTCATATTTTAAGTTTAATATATTTAGGTCACTCTCTTAGCTTATAAAAAGTTTGTGAGCTATTTTATTATTATTATTATTATTATTTAAATAAAACGGATTAAGATAAAGTTTTATCCTTGAAATTATATCATTTACTAATTTCAGGATCTTCGTATTAATAGAAAAAGAGCAGAGACCCATGTTTTTGACAGTCACTCCTTGTTCATCTCCAATCGAATGGAGGCTATTTCTAAGAAGTTTTCCTGGAGAAGTAGCTAGATCAGAAACAGGTTGGAGAATTTCTTTTTTAATTTGAAAAAAAAATAATATAATAAAATATATTAAATTTCTTCTTAAACTTTACTCTGACGAATGAATTACATATTTTTTTTTAGTAATTTATAATTAATTGAGTGTAGAATATTCATTATAATCTAGGGACAAAGTTTATAAATGAATTACTACCCCTAATATATATGGCTAAACGCTCGTAAACTTTTTACTTTTATTTATTATTATTATTAGTTTCTTTTTGTAGCGGCATTTCTAACCCTCATAAATCATTTATTAGTTACTATTTTTATATATATATTATTTGTTACTTTATTATTGATTCTCATAAATAAAATTCTTATTACTGATTACTATTGATTCTGATGAATTAAAATCCTCGTCTCTCACTTATAAACTTCGAGTAGGGTTTACTTATTATTGATTTTCATAAATTACTTATTGTTAGAAAAACTATCGATGATAAATTTCATTGTTTTCTATTTATTACTTCTGATGCTATTGATGTTTAAATATAATATTGGGTAGATGCCATATAAAGAAATTTGCTGCCGACACTGTTAATTGCTATATATATATAAATTGCCATTTAACAGATGATTAGCAATTTAATTGCTTTATATATATTATACATACAATACAATACAACTTAAATTATATATAGAGTAATTATATATTTTCGAAAAGAATTCTATCTGGAAGAATCAGGTATTGTTAACGTTGAAGCATGGCATCTCCGATTACAAACTGTAACTCCGCCTTTCAGTGGACATTCTGAAATGTTTTGACAGCTGCTAGTATTTTAGATTAGATGATTGTTACGGAATTGGGCATGCATGACATTTTATATTTTTTTCCCCTTTCAATATTAAGCGAGTTTTAAACATTTGCTTTCACAAGCCACGTTTTATTTACATAGACAGCGAGTTGTTTTTTCCCCCTCATTATCTCGTTTCTTTTAAAGGCCGAGGAAATAGAATCGTTTGAAATTAAAAAAAAAAAAAAAGGTGAAAGCCTTGTTAGGACGCTTATATTTTCTATAAGTTTAATATTTTGCTCTATTGCTTTTCTGGTATGTAACGTGAGAAGTTCGGCATTGATGCCCAGATATCGCTTGACGTGTCACATAAAATAACTTTGTTATAAACATTTTTTAAAAAAGAAATATTTTATAAAAGTTTTAACTTCAATAAAAAATAAAATTCTATTTATTTATTTATTTATTAATATTTTATTTTATTTTACTTTTTCAATGTTTATGGTCATAAATGCACCATCTAGTGAACGAATTGAAAAAGTTAAATACAGTAATTTGTAATTTTTAAATATGTTTAATAAATAAAAGTTTAAAATTATGTATGAATGCAATTAATTAATAAACATTTAAAAATAATATGTACATATACACAAGATTATAAATTTTTAAACGATTTTTAAGGTGGCGCCATCTCGTGTTAAAAAGTATAATTTTAAAATAGATTCCTAGAAATATTTTAATATTAATACTGTACACATAATTTAAAAATTTTTTAAAATTTTTTTTCAGATGTATTAAATAACCACGTACCCATTAATCATCCATCTATTTACTATGGCCAGCAAAGACAAACTTACACGACTCTTCAAGCACCTTCGGGACTCTATATGCTAGAAATAACTGCGAAAATACGAGATACCAGCGTTTTAATATATTTATCAACAAGTAACATGACAAGTTTATATCCAAAATTACCTAATAATCCAAATTTGGATGTTTTAAAAGTCAGAAGAAATCGCATTCTTTTATCATGGCTTCCGAGTCCTTCCGAAACTGAAGGCAAAAAAATCGAATATTGTATTTCTGTAAATCCAAGGATGAATTACCCAACACTTTGTTCATTAAATTCTGATTTGACGGGCGATTATCCAGCTCCTTTGCCACCATCCACGGGTTTTGGTTTTTGGTGGGAGAAAAATGCCAAAAAACGATTGATGACCCGAACTAAAGAGATTAAAAAGAATGTCGATTTAAAAAATGACATTACATATACTTGCTTAGGAAGAAAAACATGGCATATGGTACAAAATCTAGAAGAAGGCCGTACTTACTACTTCGATGTCTTTGCTGTGGATCCTTTGACTAATTTTAGTTCTTCTTACATCGGCATCAGTGCCGCTACAAAAAGTCTTCATTCCGGTAAATTGAGAGAGAATATGTTAATCATGGTATATTTAAACGAATCTAATGGTTACAGTGCAACTTTCGAGTATGCAACAATCAATACGTTACAAGCGATATGGTGTTTCGTGCAATCATGTTTCGGACCGGGTCCCATTAACGTTACACTATCGACCGATACTCAAAAAATATTTTCTGTAAATGTTATGGATATGCACACGATAGTAGTACACGATCTTCCGAATAGCACTTTACATCTGACACTTTCTTCGAAAATTAAACAACCGAGAAGGGTACGTTTGTGGCTCAGCAGAAAGTATCATAAGTATCCATTTCCGACGATGCCCAACGATAAACGAGTACAACTTTTCGATACATTAACTACGTGCGAATCTGTAACGTTAGCTTGGAAGACAACTAATGACGAGAAAGTTCGATATTGTATCTACGTACAGTCCGATAAGAGTAAACATTTTAAATATTTTGCAAAACCCGAAGATATGTGCAACAAACCAATAGATGGTATCGTAAGTAAAGGAAAACAGAAAGTTTTGTGTAGAAGATATCACCGGTTTAGTAGATATCGTTTCAATAATGTTATCCTACAAGAAATTAAAGGTTTAGAACCTGCAACTACCTACGTATTCGAAGTACAGGTGACTAAATTTCGAGGAAAAACTCTTACGTACGAACAAGTGTGGGCTACAACTAGAAAAAACTGCACTAATAATTATAGGTGATTGACCATTGAAAATCTTTTACAGATACATTTTTTTTTTCTTTTGTTTCTAAAATCTCAGGGATTACCGTATATCATTTATAATGGTAAACTGTTTTTCTATCCGTAAACGTTCGACATCTAGTCAATGATACTTTGTGCCATTAAATGCGGTTTTAAAGTACAATAGAATATAAACTCGTAATTACCGTAATGCGGAATTTGATCCGCAAATAATCGGCTGTCACCAATAAAAAAAAACAATTTTATTTGTATTTATAAATGAAAAATGAATTTTAACTCTTTTATTCCTAATCCCTGATATGTATGTTAGTTGTTACGATTTATGTACAGAATCCCACGCTTGTATTCTTTCTTTAGATAATATTGTATTAGCCATTTGTGCTCAAACCGACTTCTTGTACAGTATTTTTAGTTTTTGTTTTAATAAAATATCATTAATTTTAATTATATCTTTTAAATGTGAAAATATAATAATAATACATTAATGTTTATTTATACAATCAGAGGGCGCCACATATAATCTTACTCGTTTATTATTTAAAAAAAAAAATTAAAACTTAATTTACTAAAGGAATTATATTTTAAAAAATTATTTAAAATTTATAAACACTAAAATTAATTTTAAAAATAAATAATATAAAAAAAATGTAAACTTATATAAGCACGTGTTTCATACGAGGTCAAATTGTCATTACTTGTATTAATACAGTACTCAACATGAAATAGATTTCTTTACGTATCTTTTAAGTATAAGTGAAGCTCGTTTTGCCAAGGTTATATTGACCCGCAAAGATCTGCCTGTATGTATCTACCCACCGGTCATCCAATAAGGACAATGTGGGTGAACTGATTTACAAACGAAATAGGTCAGGGATCTAGTTATGAGGACAACTAGATTGTTTCCGAATTACTCACGAAAACCTTTCTCATATAAAGAAACTTTTCTTTAATAAAATAATTGGTGTATAATGGTCACGGATTGATTAGTAAGTCATTCAAAGTCAAGGACAGCACCCAATGGTGAAAGTGTACATGCACTATTGATCATTTGTTGCTTTTTGAATAGTTTCAAGAAGAAACGACCCTTAACGACATCCTTAGAAAGGTCATTCGGTTGGAAATATTTCGAGAAATCACATATATGCCACCCATAACACGCATTAGGTCTTTGAATCTTTCGCATCAACTCAAAAAAAAAAAAAAAAAAAAAAATGCCTTTCTCCATTAAGAACTTTCAGGTTAGGAGATTATGGCGGTGAATCCTATCGTCATCATCATATATAATTCTTATTATTTGCTGAGTAGGGTTTAGTTAGTAGGATGTATATCTTGTAAGATGGTAATTAAAACCATTGCGGTGTCTGTATTTTGAAACATGCAAAAATAAACATGTGTGCTGTCTAAGCATTAATTGCTACTAGACCGTTTCTTGGAAAAGTCGGTTTGACTCTAAAGGAACAGTAATTGGAGCCGAAGAAGGTTTCCAATCGGTTTGAAAAATATGTGTGGAATTTTAAGAGGTCAAATGTCAACATTTTAATGCATTTTAAAGAGCGTAGTTTTGTTAATTAAACAATTATTATAACACGAGTCGAGAGACATTTTTTTTTTTTTTTTTGACTCTTCACATGTGTCGCACGTGGGTAGAAAACAATCAATTTTATCAGCTGACTTACCTCCCACAGATTTTGGTGACATCTGTTAAAACTGAGATGCTACAACTGTCCCTAACCGTACCACACAAGGTCAGAGAATAGAAAGTTAAAATTGGGAAAATTTGAAGAGAGAGACTGTTATAGTTTATTAGCTTCCCATCTCTTTGAGGTTCATTTACCTCTATAAAACAGAAAAGATTCTTTTGTTACTTGATACCATCCACTCGAAAGTATTACTTTCCAGCAAAACTAAAAATTGTTTAGTTTATAAAAGATAAACAATGTTTCTTGATTACGAATGCTTTGATAAAATTTGTGTGAGAAAAATTTTTTTTTTCGGTCCTCGATACGCTAATATGCAGCTGCGATCATTTTTCTTTGATGTACCAGAACTGTTTACAGTTAAATGAAGGAATTTGGATATCGATTAACGCTTTAATTAAATAAAAAAAAAAAACAGGGAAGTTTTTAATATCCTGTATAGAAGATATTCTCAGGTTAAATATTCTAAAAATATTTAACTTTTTTAAATATATATTAAAGAGTAAACTAAATTCGGATGGCGTGAAGTCATATCCTGTGTAAAGATGGATGACACGGTGCAAGTGGTGCAACGGATAAGAATAACACAATTGTTTATATCCGAGCAAGAGCAGAATTTTTCACATGGGGATTCATTCCTGACCTGTTGACCTGTTTGTTTAAGATATCACTCCATTACTTTACCGATGAAATTCGGAATAGAAAGAACGAAACTCGTAAATATTCAATATTTATTTTACTTTGTTAACACGAATATTTTAAAATAAAATTATATCTATAATAAAATTGATTTAATAATACATTCGGGATATTATTTATTTCATTTTTTGATTGTTAACATTGTTATATATATTCTCAAATAAATAGAAAAGTATCATTTTTAGTGTTATTATATACAACATACGAGTAACCTTTCGAGGATTTATTATCAAGGATTTTATTATAAATAAACATTTTGTTGTTATGTAATAAATTATATTAAAAGATAAACGTTAACAATAAACGTATCATAATCATAATTTATATTTTATAANTTTTTTGAAATTATTTTGCTTTATTTTTTTTTTTCAATATCCTGATTAAGTTTGATTATATTAAATTTAGTCTTTTTTTTTAATATAAAAACAATATAATTTGTTATTCTTAAGTTTTTTAAATTTGCTTCTTAACTTATTTTAAATCGTTTATTTTTAAATATAAAGAGTTAATTAAAGTAAAAATGTTTATAGATGTTAATTGTATGAGAAATTCTTAATATGACCTGTCGAGACAGGGTCGAACTCGTCTCACGAACCAGGAAAAGTCACCAAGTAACGTTATTTTGTCACGGGTGAATGACCTAGGTGTGTTAATAGCATTGAAAACTATATAAGGGTCTACTACTGTTTCATTTTAACGAATTGAACCTAACGTTACGTACCGAAATAATTAATTTACATGGATCACGTTGAAAAAAAAAATGATTACAGTGTTTTAAATAGTTCAAACTCGTTTTAATCTTTCTATATTAAATTAACAGTTTAAGTTAATATCATACTTTCTGTCACGACATTAATTATTCTATTGTAAATCTCGTAAAGTTTAATTAATATAACAATTTTCGTTATATATTATAGAATATTATTAATTAAACTGCAAATTATTATTATTATTGTAGGATTTAATTGATATAATTTAATCCAGTAGTATTTCTTAACCAGTAGAATCTCTCAGAAAAGTCATTTAAACATTGGAAAATAATAAAATGCTGGGTTATTAAGTTTATAAATGGGATATATTTTTAAAATATTTATAAAACTTTCAATTTTAAATATAAAAATTAAGCGACGAAATGTCTTTTCTGATTCTGTTTCTTCCTCGTTACTTATTTTCACTTCTTCCCATTATAAAAACTTGACCAATATTCAATCAGACATGTGAGGAAAAACATTTATTTCTTCTTCCTAATTGCTTTTGTTATGCTTGAGAAGTAAGCAACTTTTTCTCTGTATATTTTACCGTACAGTTTCTCTCGTTTTTTTAATTCCTCTAACACTTTCTTATTAATGTTTTTTTCGTGTTTTCGTTTTTGTTTTGTTTCCTTTATTCCGTCCACAATTACTGGAAGTTTTACATTTCAACTTCCTTTTTGTTCTACTTATTCGGTATTTTTTTACTTCCTATTATCTATATTATAATTATTCTAATTGAAAAATCTTTCAACTTCTTCATTACCGGAACAATTATTCAATTAAATGTAAAAAAAAAAAATACACACGCTTATCCTCTTATCGACTTATCAGGAAATTAATTTATAATTTGAAATAAAAAATAAACCCGTTAAGAGTCAAAATAGTTAAATTTATTGCTTTGCAAAAAATTTAGTTTGTAAATTAACAATACAGTAGATCCCCCCTATAACACTGTAGATAATTCCGTTTTATATGAATTCCGTGTTGTACGAGTCACTTAGATTTTTTACAAATACGTGTGCCGGGCTGTAAACGGTTCATGTATTTGTAAAAAAAATCTAAGTGACTCATACAACACGGAATTCATATAACACGGAATTATCTACAGTGTTATAGAAGGTGTTATAGAAGTGTAAATGTATTGTTTCTTCTATAACACTTCTATAACACTGTATTATACAGTGTTATAGAAGTGTAAATGTATTGTTATAGCAATGTCCTGTACAGGGTACATATTAGCCTGAAAAATTAAGTTTATTTTTATTGTTAAGCATTTTTTTTATATTAATTTTATTAAGAAAGAAACTTAAAAACATTTCTTTCACTGGATCTAAACCAAAATAATTATGAGAAAATTATAAGGTATTTAAACCATACAATTACGAGAACAATTACAACACTTTTCAAACCTTAGGTTTAGTTTTCAATTCTAGATAATACTTGTTCATGAATCTATTGTTTCTAAATCCAATTATCTTTCCATTTATTTTTTTTTTTTCTTAAACAATTTTATTTTCTCGAATAACAATGACAATACGAAATATTTTTGTTCTTTACGGCTTTAAGAGGAATTAGAGTATGAACGACAAAACTCCTTTGTAACACTCGATCAGATATAAGAAAGCAATAATCGTTTACTCTATTTTGTTTAAAGAGAGAAATAAAAAAAAGTTTCCTATAATAAGGATATACGGTACTATATATATATATATAAATAACTATAATTTTTTTTATTAGTATAAGTCTATAATAAAATATTTAATATTAATAGGTCAGGGACTACTATTTGTAGTATTATAATAGTAATTTATATAACTTCCTTTAGTTTACTTAAAAATTTATTTTAATTACAGATTGGTCCAGGAATGGAATTCGGTGTTATAGATATTTTAATCTTCGTCATTCGTGGAAGAGAGCCGCTGAAATCTGCCGCAGGTAAAACTTTTTATAATTCGCTGTGTGTGTTGAAAATTTTGAATAGGAAAAACAATGTACATTAGGTCACGAGCATTCCACTTATGACCTAATGATCCTCATCTCCATTATTGTGGCTCATTGCTTAATATAATTGCAATTGGTACTCTTAAGTGATTTACGTGGTTTTCAAAGCTAATTATTGTAAAAATCTTTTGAAAAATCACAAATTGATTACAGTAATAGAAGAAAAAAGTTTTTTTTTTTAATTGAACTACATAGTTATTACTAATTTAGATACATATATAACTAATTTAATAATAGGTTGCCTGAAGGTTTATATTTTTTGAAATTATTTTGCTTTATTTTTTTTTTTTTTTCAATATCCTGATTATTATTATTATTAATAAGTTAATTTTCTTTCCATTAAAAAAAAGTAGCTACAACACTAATTACTTTTAAGTAAAATATTTTGTATAACCTTCAATACATGCTAGTTTTATTCAACGTGTTTACTGTATTCATATGGAAAAAAACAGGTGAGGTTGAAGATAGGCGTTTACTGGTTTAACTAGAAAATTATTCGTGACTTTAACTCACAATATAGTTCAAAAGCAATTGTTAAATTATCCAAAAATGAATCCAACCTAGATAGTGAAGATACAAGTCGACCCCCCTATAACACTGTTGATTTTTCCGTTTTATATGAATTCCACGTTGTACGAGTCACTCAGATTTTACAAATACGTGTGCCGGGCTGTGAAAGGGCTCACGTATTTGTAAAATCTGAGTGACTCGTACAACATGGAATTCATATAAAACGGAAAAATCAACAGTGTTATAGGGGGGATCGATTGTACTGTAGAAAAGTTATAATAATTCCTCTCACCGGAATTAGGAAGAGTATCATACATAGCTCCGAGCTAATTCCGACTACTTTTTGAGTATTAATTACCTTGAATGTTAATAACCTTAAGCAAAAATGTTGAATTATATGTTTACATTATTCAAATATATTGTTTTTTTTTTTTTACTGTCTATCCTCCTGTGAACCGACAGAATTTTCTTCTATCAGGAATTTATCGGCAGTGTTGCCTATCGAACAATATAGCAATTTACTCTATTTGTGTATTTAATAGTGTGTATTTTTACTGATGAGTTATTTTTGTTAATGAATTATTTCACATTTGGTTGCGCTCGAAACGTTTAAAAAAAGAAGAAGAAGAAGAAAAAAAAAAAAAAGTGTATTGGAGTGACGATTTTACTCTATTTTCTCGTTGTGAACTTTCTTTTAATAGATTAACATGTGGGTATTTTGTTTAGCTCTATTTTCAGCACATTATTAATATCTATCAAGTTATATTTATAATGTTTGAAAGGAATTAAGGATATTTTAAGAAATGCTTAATAAGGTTCATTTCAATTGTTAAAAAAAAAAATATTCAATGAACCGATTCATAGGATTGAAAATAAAATATTAATCAACTAATACACGAGAGAATGAGAATATCATAATCGTGAAGGGTGTGTCGTGGTATATTTTCACCCAGTTCATCTTTTTAAAATACTTCTACTGTCTTAAGTTCTTGCTCCATATAATGAAGTGCGAAACAATAGGGGAGGGGTGACGCCTTAATTTACGTACAGTTCAAAAATTAAAATATTATTTTCCTCAATAAAATAACATCTATTGGGTATCCTTATTAAGAAAGAAACTTTTCATTTGTATTGAATTTAAAGTATAACCTTTGCCCCACTCTCCTTACTTAAGTCCTAGGTACTGGGCCTAATGGATAAGACAGCAACCCTACAACTGAATTTTGGAAATAAATGTATTCCTTTGTTTTCTTCCTCTGTTTTTTTAGTCTGCCATTTTGTGGATTTTCCTATCCATGTTTACTTCGTGCCCTATGTATTGTCACCACGTCAGTAAACAATATAAATCTTCCGATATTCTTGCTAATAATTTTATACATATTTAAGAAAAAAAGAAATAAAATTCTTCATATTTGAAAGGAGTTAATGTAGCGCAACACAATGCACATCTATTATCTTGTACCTACCATGAACTTCCTGCAGATAACATCTTTCTATTCTATTTTTATAATTATATCTCTTTATAAACTCTTTTATAAATCTACAATACATCGTCGAAGATATTCTTTTACTAAATTTAAATAAAAAAAATAGATTAATTTAATAAATTTTAAGATAACTAAACCATATCTGATGAGATATAAATTGATAATAATTACTATAATTTAACTTATTTATTTTTTTTTTTATTTAAAAAATTATAAGAATTAGTTAGAAACGATTAAATAGTTAAATCATACGTAATATACTGTGACTAGTTGACGATAGCGCTTCTAATAAGATTAAAAAACAATAATACCAGTCGACCCCCCTATAACACTATTGATTTTTCCGTTTTATATGAATTCCATGTTGTACGAGTCACTTAGATTTTACAAATACGTGAGCCTTTCACAGCCCGGCACACGTATTTGTAAAATCTAAGTGACTCGTACAACATGGAATTCATATAAAACGGAATAATC